GGGGGGGGGGGGGGGGGGCGGACTCTGTGGCTCCCGGAACCGTCCGCCCCGAGCGCCGGCGCCTCCCGGTCACTACAACAACGGCGGCCCAATCAAACCCCGCGCTCCAGGCGTGGCTAGTCGAGCCCCGAGTCGTTACCCGCGCTACCCAGAGCGGCCCTCGGCCTGGTGGAAGGGCACTGCTGGCTTGGCGGCTGAGGCACTGCCAAGCCAGCGTGCATTCGAAGTAGTGGTCCCTCGGGTTGGTGTAGATAGTATCCGGAACAGAAACCCGATCCGGGGGAGCGTGGGAATTGTGAGCCTATGATCAATGCAGTCGGAGTTCTGTTACACCTTAAAGAGACCGGCCACATGGCTTTCAACCTGGTCTAGTAAAGACCGGAGAATTTGGTTATGAAGGACTGCAGTCTTGTTACTATAATAATATATTCAGAGGAACTAAGTTCTTGGATGAAGATTTGGAGTTGTTTAACCACCGTTTTCTACACGTGATATACATGCAAATGCCAACTGCAGGTGAACAATTTATTCAAATGCGTGTTCACTTTAAATTTTTTTGCGCTATGTTTCTATTCTCATATACTAGTTTTTAAAACTCATACATATTTAAAATCGCAGGAAGACTTGGAAATATGTAGAGCACATAGTATCTTTTGTGCTTCAGCAACACTGTGAAGTTAAGTTACAAAATGTTGTCCACTGCAAACTATAAACTTAATTTTTAGATACTGGCCTTAGAGGCCACATCCAGATAGTTCTTCCAACCCATATCCTCTGATAACAAACAACAACAACCCTGCCTCAAAGCATGAAGAACACAGCTGAAAATTACATATAGAATAAAAATTCCTGGCAACAAAGCATATATGTTCTATGTAAATTAAACGTACTGTGTATCTTAACTACAGGTTCTCTTAACTGGTTGTATAGTGATTGAGTTTAGTTTTAATGTCTACATAGCAATTAAGCAGATAGAAAATGACTGCACTATAATATTAGTTTAATTTATGGATGATGGTTAAATATCTATTGTATTTCTGGCCTTTGAGGACCACAAAAAAAAGAATTATTTCCACTGCCCTCAAGAACAAAGACTGGGATATAGATGTAGAATGCTTCCCTAGCATGCACTAAGCACTCAGTTTTGTCCCCAGCACATTAACCCACACTGGCTTTTGTTTGCCAGTAGTCCCAGCACTAGGGAGGTAGAGGCAGAACAATCAGAAATTCAAAGTCATCTTTGTGAATTTGGGACCAGCTTGCGATACAGGAGATCCTGTCAGCTAAAAACAAAACAAATAAAAAACCACTTCACCATTCTAAGTTGAGGCACCTCATATTTTAGTATGTTTAATGCTTATTGAGTTAATCTGTCCTCCCAAAGTTGGCGATTCACCATATTCAATATATGTGGGCAGGAGCCAGAACCCTACAAATGTAAAAGCTCCTTAGACAGCTGTAGTAGGAGTCTTAACCATGTGTATTAATAAATACTGCTGTAATAGAGAAAATGATGTGTTAAGAGTTTTGCTACCAGGGAGGCAGTAGTGTATGTAGTTTAGTGGTAGAGAACTTGCTTATATGAGAACATGGATTTGATCCAGTGTACATACACAGACACATACAGTCATACACAAAGAGAAAGGGGGCAGCGGGATAGAGGGAGACAGAATGAGAACTGATACTGGAAACCTGAGCCTGTGCCATTTATTCCCAGTCTAGGTTTCCCTTTAAATTTTTAAAATATATTTTATTTATTATTTTTAGTTTATGTGTATGAGTGTATTGCCTGCATGTGGGAATGTGCACCCCTATCATGCAATGCCTGAGGAGGTCAGAAAAGGGTGTCAGATTCCCCTAGAACTGGAGTTACGGATGGTTGTTAGCCACCATGTGGGTGCTGGGAATTGAATCCTGGTTCTCTGCAAGAGCAGTAAGTTCTCTTAACCACTGAGCCATCTCTCCAGCCCCAACTTTTAAATTTTTTAAAAGATCTATTTTAATTTGTGTGTGTGTGTGTGTGTGTGTGTGTGTGTGTGTGTGTGTGTGTGTGTCCATGTGGGGATATGTAAGGGCATAGGTTCCTCTTCTTCCTAAAATTCTAAAAAATAAGGCCAGGCATGGTGGCACATACTTTTAACCCCGGCACTTGGGACACAGAGGCAGGAGGATGTCTGTGAATTCAAGGCCAGCCTGGTCTACACAGTAAGTTCCCAGCTAGCTGGGAGCTACAGGGAGACCCTGCCTCAAAAAGACAAAAAAAAAAAAAAAAAAGGTAGAAAACAATCCTGGATGCTGGTGGGAATGTAAAATGGTATGGCTTTGTGGAAAACAGTCTGGTGGTTACTCAAAAATTAAAGTTTACCTATGACCCAGAAAACCCACCGAATACTGAAGTACTGAAATACTGAAAGCAGGGACTCAAAACAGCCATGTACCCCATAGCAACATGATTTGCAGCAACCAAAAGCTAGAAACAATTTTGTATCTGTGATGGTTTGAATGAAAATGTCCCCCATCGGCTCCAAGTATTTGGACATTTTGTCTCCACATGGTGGCGCTCTTTTTTTGGCTATTTTAGAAGATGTGGCTATCCTGGAGGAATCACGTCACTGGGAGTGGGCTTAGAGAGTTCTTAAGCCTTGCCAGATCTCCAGTTGCTCTGTGGCTTCCTGTGCCTGCGTGATTATGTGAGAGCTTCACTTCTGCTGCTCCTGCTCCTGCCACCTCCAGCCACCATGCCTCCCTGCCATGATAGATTGTAATTCTCCTGGAACCGTAAGCCCAAATAAACTCTTCTATAAATTGCTTGGGTCAGTGTTTCTATCACAGCAACAGAAAAATGACTAATACAGTTTCCATCAAATGAATGAGTAAACAGTGTGTGTGTGTATGTGTGTCTTTAACTGGGGGGGGCAGAGAGAGAGAGAGAGAGAGAGAGAGGAGAGAGAGAAAGAGGAGAGAGAGAATATTTGACCATAAAACATGAAATTCGGGCATTTGCTACCATTGCAAGCAAGTAAATAAGCCAGACTCAAAACATATCGTATGATTAGGTCTGCATGAGGTAAGTAGAATAGATGCTTATTTCATGTATATTTGATCACACTAAAATACACTAATGTTGAAAACAGGAGTAGCCAAGTCCTTGGGATCTCCCATACCTATGTCTAATATTTGGTATAGCAGATTAAAGGGAAGAAAAAGTTGGAAATGTAATATATATTAAATAAAAAGTGAATTTAAGTATAAATATTCTCTAAGTGTTTAACTGAAGTTAATTTTTTTTAAACCTCAGTGATCAAAAAGCCATTTTTTAAAAGACAGGCAAATCAGAGTCAGGAGGCAAAGCAAATTATGGAAGAATACACATCACTCTAAAACATCTAGATATTCATGGCAGATATTCAACAGCTATTTGTCCAGTTCCTTCTTTAAATCAGTTATCTATTGCCACAATAGTGCTGTGTAACAACCACAAGATCTCAGTGGACTATAAAAATGGATAGTAGTGTAGTTCATTATTAAAGAAGACATATTTTAAATAGATGGAAAATTCCTAGGGTAGAACCTATATTGATAAATGGTCATATTGACAAATTGCCTTCTAAATATGTATTGTATGTTTACTCAAAGACCTGGGCTGCTCTCAACCTTGGTCAGAGAAGCTTCTTTTTTAGTAGGCAGCAGTCAATACAGACACTGACTTGTAACTGGTTAAAATGCTGAGAATAAAAGACTATGAACGCTTAGCCTTGAATAGGACATCTTTATCAACTCCACCCCACCCCCACAAGATTTATGGAACATTGCAGAACAGGCGATGAAAACAATGTAACAGCTGGGGGATAGGGAGGAGTGAAATGCTGTGAAGTGCTGTCTTGTGGCCATGACATGGCAAGTACACAAACTCTCAGTAGCTGTGGTTACCTGAACAAGATCAAGCCAGCCAAAATTCCAGTGTTGATGGGGGTGGCACTCTCCAGCCCTCACCCCTTACTGAGGAGGTATTGAGAGTTGATAGCTGCTGTGGGGGTGGGGATCATTATTCTTTTAAGGTGTGGCCACTGGTAGGTTCATGCTCCAGTGGATGGCCCCGCACTCATGTACATGGGCAGCACTAATTGGACTAAGTGTTTAAAAATAATAAAAAGAGAAGGAGAAGGAGGAGGAGAAAGAGGGGAGGGGGGAGATGATGAAGTTGGAAGAGGGACCTGTTGGGAGGATTATAGGGGAAGGTGGAAGGGGGAAATTTGAGGTGAATATGGTCATATTTCATTGTATATATGTACGAAATTCTTTTTTAAAATATTTTTACTTTATTCTTATGTGTATGAGTGTTTTGCCTGCATGTATGTAAGTGTGCCAGGTGCATGCAAAGCCTGTGGTGGACAGAAGGGTGTGTTGAATTCCCTGGAACTAGAGTTATGGATCATTGTTAGCTGCTATGTGGATGCTAGGAACTGAACCTGGGTCCTCTGCAAGAGTAGCAGTGCTCCTAACTACTGAACCACCTCTCCAGTCCCATGAAATTCTTAGAGAATAAATAATTATAATTTAAAATCTAGTTGGAGGGAAGAATATGCTGTTTTCTCATCACCTAAAGTTGTGACCTTAAAAATTCTCTCTATTCCCAGAAATGGAACATGAATTTGTTCTGTCCTATGATGTGCTCCCCAAGGCTAGGTATTCTTCTGAGTACCTCATACACTTTGACATTTCATCATCATATCAGAGAGTTGTGCTGTTACCATTTGATAATGGTGGAGACATTGTTGCTAGTCCAAGGCATGTAACTGAGAAAAGGTAGAACTAAGAAATTTTGGACACTCAACAATCCTCTTGTAATTGCAAGGTCATGATGCCTTTTTCATATTCTCATCTTTATTTATTTTGCTTATTTGTCTTGGGACAAAATCTGGCTGCATAGCCCAGTGGATCTCAAACTCAACATTCTCTTGCCTCTGTCTCCCAAGTGCTGGGATGTCAGATGTACCACCATGTCCAGCCTCATGATTGCTTGTATATTGTAAGTGTGTGAAAATATTGTATCCTTTATCGCTGTTGAGAATCCTATGTTGGTTCAGATGGTAAAGGCACTCGTTCCCAGGCCTGACAACCTGAGTGGAGGGAGGGAACCAGCTCCTGCAAGTTGTCTTCTGTCCTCCACATGTACTCCATGACAGACACATTCCCCACTTTCCAATTTAAAAAAATTAACATTTTACCCTAGCCATGGTTTTACTACATTTGACCAAAATAAAAAAGTAAAATCTCCCTGATATTCATCCCACTGCCGTCCTTTATTACTCCAGACCACCCCTCCTTTCCCATATGTACTTTTACTCTCTTCTGCCCTTCTGTGCTATACCAGCATCAGAAGATCACAGGTATACATTTGGAAATGTGTCCAAAGTTAAGGGATTATTTTCAAACCTCAAACATATGTGAGTTTATACAGTTTCACTTGCTACAGTGATTATTAGGGACTTCACAAAATGCCAAATTTAGCAGTGGCATGGCTGATGTATTACCAGTAGGACCAGTATTTGGAAACCTACCAGGTATTGCTAGAAATTGCATGATAAAAAGGGCAAATTGACCTTTAGTTAGCACTTATTTTCCAGTTATTTCTCTAACTAGGTATGAAATGTGTCTACTTGAACACTATAAATGATTGTAGTGTAGATCATTCTTAGGTTAGTGATGTTTGACTTTGGAAATTGAAGCACACAAGTGCCACCTACTGTTTGTATTACTGTGTGGCATGTGCTTTAAGCAGCTGGTTCACAGTGGTGCTGCCTTCTGGAGTGGCACAAGTGCTCCAAAGTATAAAACTGCAAAGAGAGGAAAAGCACAAGATAAATTTGAGTCATTAAAGCATTAACTTTTTTTGGAAGATGGTGCTTATCTCAATCAACATTTAGTCTCCAAACCTTACCAACTGTATGCTCATCATAAGTGTTTTTCTCTTCCTATTTTCTATCCTTCTGGCTCCTGCCACTCTTTGGGCCTTCATCCTCTACCTCCTGGCAAGTGCTCCAAAGTATAAAACTGCAAAGAGAGGAAAAGCACAAGATAAATTTGAGTCATTAAAGCATTAACTTTTTTTGGAAGATGGTGCTTATCTCAATCAACATTTAGTCTCCAAACCTTACCAACTGTATGCTCATCATAAGTGTTTTTCTCTTCCTATTTTCTATC